CATATTTAAAAGTTTAATAACTCAATACTTATATTACCATATGAGTTAAAAATATCATTTTGAACTTCAGCATAATACTAGGTATAAGTTTAATTTTATAGCAAATAATTGTTACAATATTTTTTTAATGTGAAGCCCAAATTTTTAATGTAATAAATTAAATGAATAGATGTATTGAGGTTTTTAAAGAATATTTACTTTAGTCCTTAAAGCTTTATCTTCTCAGTTCAGTATATAAAATTTTAATAGCGCCATCTACTTAATTCTATCGGTGAAGTCATTTTATCGAACGGAAATTGATTGATTCTCACGGTGGTACGTAAAGATTACATTAAATAGCACAAACACGCTATCGGCTAATGTAATATTTATATTACCTTAAGAGTTAAAAATATCATTTTGTACGGTTTATTAAAATTAAAAATGAATAATTATATAATAAATAAATAGTCATTATTTTCTGGTAAAAAAATATGCAGAGCTTTATCTTTTCATTATACCATATCTAATTCCTGTCGTAATCTGTTTTATGCATATAACTTAAACAAAATAATTTCGATGTTTCACATCTCCCAGGCGTCTCTTTTTTTATTTTGTACATAGTTTGTTTGTACTTTGTTAATGCATTTCTTTTGTTCATGCATTGTATTGTATGTAAATATCTTTTTCTTTCGCTCAAGCAAAACCAAATGGCTGTTTTCAAAGTCACCGAAGGAATGCAATTGCATATGTCATACAATCTATCTAGCGGTAGTATGCATTCTGTGTGCTTTGTTAAACACGTCCTTGACAGCACTGAATATGAAACTAAAGAGTGGAGACAGATCAAGATTGGTGTTTTTTATAAAACTGCTAAAAACAACAAAACCATATTTTGGGCTTGCCCTGGTTTGGAGCCCTAGCTTCGCCACTGTTGTGTAATCAATGTAAAAACAAAATGACCATTGTGTACAGTATTGTACAGTGTTACTTTCTCAGTTGTAAAGCTTTTGGAAGGCAGTAATAGAAATTTAACCAACTCTTTCCAAAGCTAAGATTTCTACAAATAAAAATTAACATAAGGCCTCCTCTTATTTATAATCCTTCTCGATGTAAGTCTTCTTTTTAGAATAGATAATACCAATAGTCTGCCAGACAGTTAGAGACTACCGGTCCATGCAAACCTGGTACCAAATGCTTATGTCGGTGAATTTCATGAAAATTTGCTCTTCATCAATCTTTTTGGAAATTTTACTTTAGGAGCTTATTTTGCTCTGGGAATTTATAGAAATGTGCTGTGTATAAGACATACCCATGTTTTACTAGTTTAAATATTAGAGGTTAGATATTATATTTATAATTTATAGAAATATGCCGCGTTAGCCACATACCCATGTTTTACTAGTTTAAATATTAATAAAATATAGATATTTATGGGCCACAGCATTTACTTACTATCGGTATTAATATATATATATATATATATATATATATATATATATATATATATATATATATATATATATATCGTAATTTTTTCCTTAATTTAGAAAAAAATAAAGATGGTATTTCCATTGACTTGTGTCAAATACTATTTGGTGATACCTATTTAAAAATATAAGTAATATTGATTTTCATCCTATACATACGAGATTATCAAGATTGTTCATTTCCAAACGTCTTAGAAATAATGGATGGTTATTTATTATATCAAAATATTTTATATATCAAAAGTGCATGAATCTACGTATATTTCACTTACAAACGACATCATGAATTAGGTTGAATAAAGTGAAGCCAATATCTAGGGGCTAAAAAACCATGTTGTTTGCTTGTCAAAGATCAATTATCATAATGCAAAGGCTTGGACGCCATCCACGACTTTTTCTGCCTCTAAGGCGGCGCCACTTTTGAATGACGTAAAACATTCCCAGATTTTATAGCAGGGAAAGCAGGGAAGATTAAGGAAGATAATTTAAGAATTAGAAAATGTAAAGAATAATATTTCTATCTGAAATATTAGCTATATTTTATATGAATGAAGTTAGAAATGATTATCCATTGATTGATTTATATCAAACTGCGCATACGCAAGAGAATAAAAAAAGTTAAAAATGTGTAAAAAATTAATAATTCAGCACTGAGGCATTGTTTTGTGTACATACATAGCGTAGAAACCGAAAAACTGATAGCGAAATCGCAACTTTTTAATAGTGACGTCACTATGTGACCATCTGCGTAAAAATAAGTTCATCTTAGTCCCAACGGGTGACATCTGTTGAGCCTGAGAATATTATCCTTCATTGGTTCAAAATAAGCATTGCGTAACCGTTCTTTTGCTGCAAGGGGCTTTTTTCCTTAAGTTTTGACTTTATTATCAATTTAATTAACAAACAATTCGTGCGAGATTGCTCTATTAATTTATACAAAATATACAACACATGGTACAAAACCATTAACCCTTTACTACTTATTGATCGATTTCACCATCAAATCATTATAACATACGGGAAGATATTTATTTATAAAATAAAAAAACACAAACATGCCATCTACATATGTAAGGTAGTAAGTACATAGACCGTTGAGAGTAGAAACACGATTTTATTTTATTTATAGTAAACGTTGAAAATGAAATCTTTAGAAAATGTCGTGTCTTTTGGTATATGGTATGTATTAATAGGAATTTTAAATTTTTATTTGAGTTTGTTCGTTTAACGTTCCCATCTTTGTGCTCACGGATGACAACGCATCTGCATTTTGATTCGCAAACGAGGGTAAATGTAGATGTCTATGGGCCACAGCAACCACTTACCATTAGGTGGACTGTGTGCTCGCTTGTAAACCTTATTCTATAAAAATAATCTTGTTGCAGAAACGTTAGTTTAAAGAATAAAGAATAACATACAATGTTATGTTAAGTGTTCATATTTTAACCAAAATTAACGTATTGTTATTAAACGAATTTTATGATTAGAGTCGACAGGCAGATCTTTTAAAGGCTTAATTCCTCCAAATAATCTCGCTTTAGAGAGGAATGCGATCCACTAATTTTATTTTCTTAGTTATAATATTGGATTTAATATTTTAAACTTTAAATGTTAAGATTGTCTGCACTTTTATGACAAAATTAATTTATATATCTGCTTACACCAATTAAAAGTAATTAACTTGAATGTATTAGAAGCAATTGAGTACAGTAATTATAGTTTAGGAGCGCAAGAACATCGCTGTTTACGTGTCAGTGCCCTTTCCAGTATGTATTCACAATTAAACTGTAGCAAATAGTAGAAGGTAAACATAATAGCATAGATCCCATCGCAGAAAAGTTTTTGAAATTGCTCAAGCTCAAATGAGATCAAACGAAAATCCATTTGAAAAAGTATTTATCCAAGGTCCAATATTTACTGTAAAATTTTCCGTAGTCAATGGGATTCAGTTTATCTTAGAAATTCTTTCTTCCATTAACTACTTTAGGCCCGAAACTAATCAGCCCGCCCTTGTACCAATTGGCAAACAAATGCAAATAGTACTTTCTGTTGCCCTGTTTTACGTATATTAATTATGAAAAAGCTTTTTAAATGCAAAATTGGCTCTCCAGTAAGGCTATGATACCCACCTGACTACAGAACCAGCACCACCCGCTTTCGATTTGCTAACATTATGGCACAATATCTGGAAGACTAACATTATACTCAAGGTTAGGTCACACACTTATACGCTTATACCATTAATAATTGACATTTTAATTTAACGACGAATGTTTTTATCTAGGACAAATTATCCGACTAGGTAAGTTCAACTTCGACCAAAAGCGTTAACCGAAGGATCAAACTTTCCAACCGGGCAGCTTTCCGGAAATTATGACAAATCTTTCGTTTAGTATTCTTGAAAATCTTATACAAAAATGTAAAAAAAAAACAGTTCTTGTTGCCGGTGGAGACCTATTAAACCGAGGCGTGGTCCTTCACTGCCTTATGAGGAATATTAGAGTCACTCAGCGAGCTATGAAGGCGGCGTGGGCTATGCTCGTATCGGAGTTTCTCTGCGGGATTACCTGAAGGCAAATATTCGCAGTAGAACTAGGGTAACCGACAATCCCAACAGATCATTAACCTTGTATCGTGGTAGAGGCACGTTGCAGCTATATTATGATTGTAGAACGAATGGGTCGGCTCGACCGGGGAAGAATACCAGTGTAAAATAGCAGCTTAATACTGCTGTGTTTCATATGGTGAGTGTAGAGATCCGGAGACCCTTTTTTGCTGGAAACGGGGCATTCCATCTTAGTTCACAGGGGTGACAACGCATCTGCATTTTGATTCGTAATCGAGGATAAATGTCTAAATTCCAGAAAATACAATGAAAATATTGTAAATATTATTTTTTTGCTAACAATTTAATTTTAATTACATAAACACATCCTGTATGTTAGATTATAACGCCGTCGGTTTTTTTGGAATGTTTTTTTTTGTTCCTGTCATTCACTTACGTATTCGTATCTCCGTCACAATTATTAAATTCAAGGTTAAAAACTAAATCTCTTTAGATTCTTTGGTTCTAAAAGTACCGATTGTAGTTTGAAAATCTACCTAAGAAAATAAACATAATTTTGCTTGACAATTACTTCATATACATATAGAAAAGTCGACTTGAAAGCTAGCTATTGTTTCCCTTTATTGTTTATTCACTTGTTAACAATAGTTGTAAATAACGTACTCGTTTTTAAAACGTAAAGTAAAGAAAAAAGAAAATCTCACACGAATATTATTTCGTATTATGTCATTGACGAGCTATGAATAAGATAATGAATTGTCGCAGTGATTCGAAGATCATGAAGATTATATCACGTTCAGCAAACTGTAATAACTATGTTACAGGTAGATGTTATTTATAAATTGAATTTAGAAAAACTTAGTTCATGTCTTTTTCTAGCTTTTTTTCTTTTTGTTACTGTGTTCTATTAAAATATTTTGTCGATTTTTGTAGTACTTATTAGTAAAAGAATGTTTCCATTTCAGGAAACACACAATATACTCTTCAAGATAGTTTGATGAATTTCGGTTCTAAGCCGTATATTGTGTTACTGGAGCAAGAGCGTTATCGACGTGATACAGCTGATTTGTCGTCTACAGTTGAGCCTCCAACATCAGCCGCAGCTACTACAGCATCCAACGTCACTCCCAATTCCGTCCCGTCTAATTCTACAGGCGACAATAATCGAACTACCAACGTGACTACGAGTAAGTAATTATCTTTTCAATTAATTACTATTTAAAAAAAATATAAGCGAAAAAAAATATCCTATTCCCGCTCAGGGCCAGAAGCGGCGCGGTGGTGCAAATAAATATTACCTTGTATCTAGAGGCAGTCCGTAGTGATAAGAGCAATCAACTAGTTATTGCGATTAACTTAATAGCGTTATGGCTGAAGCTGTTTTCGTTGCTTTTATTTTTTATTTATTTATTAATAAGTGTCTTTAAATTTTATAAGTTCTTTCTGATCAAAGGTTCTTTCTCTTATTTTTACTGGGCCCTTCGTAAATTGTACATTTTTATTTTAATTACATACAGAAAAAAAATATAATATATATATAATCATAGCTTGTTAGGTTTTGACGCAACATAATTATATTAAAATATTTAAATATATAACAAAAAATGCGGACAATTTTTTTATATACTAGTAAAGTAGTATTAATTTATGTATTCAAGTAAAACCGGTATTATTTCGTGTTGACAACGCTTACGTCTTTAATGTGTTTTCTCATTATATTACCAGCGTTTATCTTTAGTTCTTGTATAACATTTCTATAATTTCCGTGATTGTATATTGCTAAGCGGACACAATGTCTCCGATATCCAATTTTTAGTAAAGGTCACACAAGCGTAGTTGTACGGCGTCACTCAATAAACCAATGTTTTTACTTACCATCAATTGATTAATACACGCAAAGTAATTTTTCAGGGAACCATATCTATATTTGAGTAGTATTACAATCATCTGATCTTGAATTTATCAACCCTTAACCACCAAATCCAAAAACTACATTCGTTAGTATTATAAGTTATAACCTTAGATTACTTAACGTAGAATATATACGTTGCATATATAACATGTAACAAAAACCATGTGGTTCCTATATACTCTTATTTGACAATATTTTGTTTTATTATTTTTATTTTTTAAGATAGAAACGTTACCTCCCTCCACACTAGGATTTACTCCTGTATTGTGGAGGCAGTTTACATACGTACATAAACAAAAAACATCCAGAATCGGAACAATTATTTGTAGGCCATACAAATACTTGTTCCGTGCTGGAATCGAACCTGCGGGCCTTAGCGCTGCAACTCATTGCTAAGCCATTGCACCATGCAGCCGTCAAACAAAATATTAATAAATTTCATAAAATGTAACATATCAGTCGATACATCCATATTAAGATGATTTTCTTATTACGCGAGAGACAACATACACTGAATGCTATATAGTTATATTATATTTAAGTTTAATAACAAATTAAGCATTAGCATCTACTTTGACTTCAAGTAACACAGTTTGTTTTCGTAAAGTAAAATGAGGAGGAATTTCGAAAAGTAGAATTTAGTCAGGACTATGGAATATGATTTTGTTCGGAAGTTAAACAGTTAATTGAAAATAAAGTCTGCGTACGACCTATGAATCTGGTCCGAAGATACGTCATTATTTTAGTTGTATCACTTATTCTATTAGCTACACGTTTTGCCAATTTCTCTTCTTGACACGGAAATAAACGATATAAAAACGCAATGCCTGCAAGCTAAATAGAATAGCGATGAAAAAATTATGAATCTAGAACCCTATTTTATGTGTTATTGTGGTTTTGGGTATGTATATAGTCAATGAATACTCCGATTATGACGTAGCTATTTTTATAAACTAAAAAGCATTGATAGCTAAAGTTAGAACTAAATGACGCGACGCTAATAATAATGCCAGAAACCAAAAAGCTTGATCAAGGGTAGACGTATAAGCGCCACAAGCTCTACTTACCATCAGATGTTACTGTGCCCTCGTTTGTCATCTTATACTATTAAAAAAGGGGGCTATAACGCGTGCCCCGAATCGTGGTACCGAATTACTCGAAACCAGAAGTTTCTGTATTTTAAATTGCGATTTTACTATTTACAAGTCCAAAAATTAAGTGCAAGTTATGGTTGCTTTTGTTCCCCTATATATTATTAATTACCACTGATATATTTAATGCAAATTAAAGATAAAATATATGTAGCATGTCCCACGTGATTATTATATGCATCAAAATCAAGTACAATTTGGGCCAGTGTAATTTTTTTTATTAGCGATGTACCTTTTGCTTGTACGTTATAGCAAACTAAAATGCTTTTTGGCATTGGTTGGCGGCATGGTTTCACTTTTGATTAATTACCACTGATATATATTAAATGCAAATTAAAGATAAAATGTACGTGACTAGGGGGGGGGGTCATGTCCATTTCGGTCTCTTACGGACTGATGAGGAATAAGAAGAATACAATATCCAGTTAAACATATTGTTTTGTATCTAGTCCAAATAATAATGAAAAAAGTCCTGCATATCTAAGAATGTTCCCTTTAAAGTTTAAACCCTACTTCTTCTATGCAAAGCTATTGAATCAGTCTGTCAATACATTATTACTATGTAAACGACAGCAGTTGTACGCGTCGCTCTTAATGAGCTCAGACATGTGATAAATGCGTTCATGTCTTTGTGTTCTGCTGATACCTATCACTCATTGCCTTAGCATTATTTGTATTTTGTATGCGAGTTGCGAGCGTTCAATAATAAAGCAAGGGAACAAAATGATCTGCTGTTCATCACTTCTATTAATAATTTATTTTTGGTTCAGTAATAATTATTCGTTCCACTGTTATCATAAAGATAATTTAAAATAATATTGAAAACACATGTCCACAATAAAAAGACATTCCACAGTGTTTATTTTTAACTGATAATTTATCTCAAGACGCTCGGTTTCCAATAAATGTCAATTGTCACTATCTCGCCGTCGCGTCGTATACATATTTTACTATCAAGAGACATTTAACGTTCAAACATTTAATCAAAATAAACTTAGCATTGATAACACTAAGATGGGAAAACCTAGATGACAATTTATATTGCAAAATTCACTAAGTAAAAGTATACCATTATTTTGTATAAAGATCTAAAGGAAGTCGCGAAATGAGTCTTATACAACACCACACTACCACGGTATGTATCTTGAAACGTGTGTATAAACACAACATGTCTTGATTACCTTACAGCGCGCACACATAGCTGCGTCAAAGAAACGTGTTTACACAACCGTTTTTGATCGTTTAGCGTAATCTTAACATAACAAAGCGGCGTGAACTGTCTTATTTACATCTTGTATTGCACGCATCCCACCGATGTTTTGCGAACATTCTATATTATACTTTTATTGACATGACGTCAAATTATCGAAATGGGACTGATATATTACTTATATCCTATACCAACGATTTTCACAAAATTTTGTGTCCAGGGAGTTTCGGGGCAATAAATCGATCTAGCTAGGATTTATTTTTAGAAAATGTCTTTTTGTCCGTGTTTTCAAACTTTGACATTGTGGTAATGATCGTAATAGCTCAAGTGGATATCGAGCGGTCGCGAAATCGTAGTGCCTTGATTCGCATCCTGTCTTCGGTCCGACTTTTTTCCTTTTTTTTTTCAAATTCCCTTCTTTTGTGAGAAAATCTATTATTTCGAGCCCTTTTTTTAGTATTTTTTAAAAATACGAAAATTTTAATTGAACTAATTGCATAAAATTGTTTAATTAAAACCGAGCAAAGCTCGGTCATCCAGGTACTATCCAAATAATATGAGTTTTATTTTATAAATATAGAAATCTTTTTTGCAAAATTTGTCTTTTGTCTTCTATTCCATATGGATACATTAAAAATTCAAGTAATGGAATATTAGTATATATAAATATATATATATATATATATGTATATTAGTCGGTCCGTGTGTATGACCCGTGTGTACCCTTACTCCTCCTTAACGGCTGGACCGATTTTGATGAAATTTTGTTTGTGTGATTAAATTGATTCAAGAATGGTTGGACAATGGACGCGGTGGCGTTGTTGTTGAGATCCAGAAATCACCCATGCGGAGCCAGGGCGGATCGCTTGTTTTTTTATATAACTAGAGTGATACAGTCCAGTTAACCGCTTTATGAAGTCATTGGTTTTCCCCATTAGTTTGTTGGGGCACATAAGTAGAGAAACCGACCGGAGGGGAAGCTACATACAAACGGCTCGCTACGACTATACCCATACATAGCGCAGAGATGTGTACGTTAGCTCTCGCCGACAGGTTCATCGACGCTCCGTCGGGGTACAAACCGGTTTGCGCCAGCTCAAAGTATCCATGAAAGGGCTGTTAGTCGTGCGCATTAAATAAATGGAAGAACAATATTTCGAGATTGATTAAAACTACTTTTACGGATTTTATCGCATTTAATTTTACTTTTAATTATTTTTATTTTCAATTCCCGACGTTTCGGGTGCTTTCCAGCACCCATGGTCACGGGGGACTGAGGTGACTGACGTCCCGATGTCATTGTTAAACCCGGAGTACCTTCAGCTTTTTTAATTATTGTTTATGGTCCGATCTAGATATTGCAAAATCCGGATTTTTTTTGAAATCCGAATTTTTGAATTTTCCTATCATTAAAATCCGGATAATCCGGATTTTTCGAAGTTTTAGGGTGATTTGATAAAACTGAAATAAATCAGCATAAATCATTTAAAATCTGCGTTTATTCTGATACGAAGGAATAAAATCAACCAAAATAAACAAAAACCGTGTAGTGACGGTTAAGAATATCCACTACCCCATATCTTCCCGTGGGTGTCGTAAAAGGCCACAGAGGGAGGCAGGCAGAAGATAGGCAGCAGCATCTTCCTGATAAAAGTAACAAAAAACTGCAGTTACCAACCCGCTCGCCAAGCGTGGCAACTATGGCAATATACCCCCCATGAGCAACGACTCAAATAGAATGCCCCCAGACCATGGTAACGGCAGGGCAGAGGGTGCTAAGAATCTCCAGTGGAGGTTCAGTTGACACCTAAAACTACTCGACCTGACAAATTACAACGCATGCACCCTGAGGACTGACGAGAAGATCCTGGAGCTGGAAGAAGAGATAGACAAGTTGTGTTGGAATATTATAGG